AACACAATTTAATCAGTTTCCCCTTTAACGTGGTCACCAAAAATAAACATGTTCCAAGTTAAAAAACTGTTTTTTCCTAATCTCTGGGAATCAGTACAAGCAAGAAGGTTCTTTTTTAGTAAATTTAACTAAAGCATTCTAGTTGAAAAACATTTTAATGAAAAAGGAACGTTCTATAATATTGCAAGTGTATTCCTTTTCTGACCTATATTTCTATGTGTTTATATCATCATCTTAATGAATAAATAATAATTTGTACTTCAATGCTACTGCATCACACACCATTGGCTTTCAATGAACAAATCACTAGAAACGATAGAGCCTGAGCCGTGTCACTAGAATAAAGTAAATGGTTACGGACATGCTTCAGTTTATAAGTCTGCCTTTTAAAAGGGAGCTCTTCTGAGTCGTTCTGAGTGTTTCTAGGCAGGGTTTCCATGCAACACATGGAATGCCGAGTGTTCCCAGTTTTCAAACACGATAATGCTAATGATGGCACGCTTACCAAAGGCATACACCTGAAATCGTTTTCAAAACGGAGCAAACTTAGCAAAACCGGCATGCAGTACGATTTGTTTTATTTCAACACTAGAATAATACTTACACATTTTGAGAGCAAGATGTACAGTGCACTTGTACAGCTCTACATGCAAAATATACCATCTTTGCAGTACTGACATGACAAAATACACTCATCATGCAGTAACAAGGCACAACACACGACAATCACAGGACACGACACGGGCTATTGTACCAAAGATTGCGTCACCTACTTGTCGATAGAGCCCACCAGGTAGTAAACCATTGGAAACCAACAGATTGCATCCAGAAAATGCATATCTGGCCTACGTAGCAGATGGGTCACAAAATGAAACACAATGTCACACAGTGGTAGCACTTGTAGGGAAAGGAAGGAAGTTGGTTTAGTTTGCATTTACAAAACTAAATAATGGTAGCAAGATTAAACTGATGTTTTCATTAACATTGATCAGAAATAATCATTTGCACTTGTTATGAGTAATAGGATGTTCTCAGAATCTTCAAAACATTTTGCCTTTCAATTTTTAAAATCAGAAACATTATGGCACAATTCTACCTGGATAATGAAATAATCTTCTTACTTATGAGTAAAAAAATCTTGTAAGTGAATTTTAAAATTACATGAGTCAAGGATGCCTTGTAAAAGGAAGAATAATGATTATTTTCTTTTCATAATGTGAAGCACAGAGAATAATATTATCATAACTATGAAGGGTAAGCTTCTCTAAGGTGTATATATATATACACCTTAGAGAATATATATATATAT